TCCTGCTTGTATTTATCTTTTTTATAACCTGTATACTTTTTAAAATATCCAGTTTTTTTTTTCAACAAATTCTTCCCATTCAAATGAATGGGAGAATCTTCAGATCTTTCTCCTCATTCAGCCCTAACCAGTTCAGCATACTTTGAGCTAGAAAAACCATTCAACCTTTAAACAATGCAGCAAACTTTCAGCTATTTATCTCGTATTCAGCTTTATGATATCTTACAGTTTTTGAATTATCACAGTTTATGTTTTATGGTGATTTTGGACATTACTCAGCCTTTCAATTCATTTGAATGGGGAGAGCTAGAGTGGGCGACATCACCCACACTCTAGCCCTGTCCTACAGCCTTTTTACAGTTTTTCAGCCTGTTTTCTGCTCTTATTCTGCCTACCTTAAGCTTCCACACACAAATTATACATGAAAATGGTAGAAAAAACTGTGAGGAATCAGAAAATTGTTATTGTGATAGGATGAATGGTTTTTGAATGAAGTGGCAAATTCCAGAGAGAATGCCTCCTCACTCTCCCATAGACGACTCCCATTGCAAAAAAGATTCAGAAAATCTCCTTGAAGCGAAAGTGAGGGCTATTTGTAAATCGCCACAGTTCCTTCGTTTTATGGAATATCGTCACATAAAGGTGATCAGTCTGTTTGTTGTTGTGTTGCACCTCTGAATGTAACTTAGTCCAGTATACCACCTTTAACTATGACCTCAGTAATAAACACATCATTGAATTTATTTATTTATGACAATTTCACCAAAAAAAGAAACATTTTGAGCTTCGTAAACACAGATGTTAACACCTTGTTGTTCACACGATGAAATGCAACCTCATTAAACCTCCAGTCAGGTGGAAGCTGGATGGAGCTCTGCTAGTAATTAACTGTGGAGCTGAATCATCTAGTTGATAGCTATTTACTCACTGAAAAAAAAGTCACACTAGCATTAGCGAGTCAGTGAGACATATTTCTGCATGTAACAGCAAGAGTTTGACAAACATATTGCTCTTCAGTTTGTGGTTCATTACGCATGTTTACAAGTAGCTAAATTCGTCAGCTGTTGTCTTTTTGGAAAACTATTGAATGTGGCATCTCTTCTTTTTTTAACATTTAACTCTGTATTGCTCTACCATCAGTTTTGCCTGTACTTTTTCTGGTTGGTAGTTTTTGTGTGTCAGATATACTTAAATTCACAGTACAGATATCGGTGAAGCTCCTATATTTGTGCCTACTGTGACATAAATCACATACTGTAATCTGTTATAGCAAAGTGAATGTATATTCTGGCTCTGATGCACATGTATTTGTATGTATATGTAGAAGATATACTACATATACATACAAAAAAAAAAGCTTTTCTGGGCTTCTGGCACCAAGGACCTGGATAAACACACCACATGAGCAACTTTAATTGCACAGAATGGGCGCTTTGTTTCAGTCCAGTATCTAGCTTTATGCAATTACCTCGCATAGCCAAACCTCTGCTTCGTCTGGCTGCTCATGTTGTATTAGAAAATTCCCAAAAATAGCATGTGATAAATGGCACCAGAGATGCAGCAAACAGAGCTGTATCCTCCAATGTGCTCTAAAGACTGACTAGATAGAGCTGTCTGAATATGCTTAGACCTCATCTCAAACTAACCAGGCGCCTCCAAAACGCACCAAACACAAAACCGGGCGCCTCCAAAGCTGGAAAAGGTCTTGAAAACAGGCAAGTATTTCATATTAAGTGATAGGATGTCTCTGCTTTTGAACACAGAGTGAACAGCATGTACCACTAAGTGAACACTGCCCCAAAGAGCCCAGACACTGAGACACAACCTTAATATCAAGTGTGAGTTTATGGGTTTTATTTAATCCAGTCATAAATCTACACAGTCTAGATCAAGGAATGAATTTTCAAGCTCAGTTTGATTCATATGTCCTCTCTGCTCAGTCTGTTTCATAATCCAGTTCTCATTCAAACATTAAGTGCCCAAACCTTTGCAAATGTATGTCATTTGCAATGGGGTGTTTTTTTTCTCTCTAAATTGCACTGTATTTACTGTGGAAATTTGTTTTTGCAATATAACAATTTAATTTTACCATATTTTAACATTTAATTTGTTAAATTTCTCCTTCAAATCCTTTCTTAATTTTAAATGGTTCATTTTTCCATCTCTATACACAGCTGTAGCCTGCTCCCTGTGCACTAAATAGCACTTTATCAACAGCAACAGTAAAACATAAAACAGTTCTTCTTTTATTCAAATGTTATTAGCAGTGCTGCTGTAACTTCTCCATGTTTTTATATAGCTGTATCTACAATCGTCTTTATACAGCATATCACATATTATGTTTATATTTGTCTGTAAAACCATTATCATCTAGATAAATTTCCATTTTTATATAAACAAAATAAAAAGTTCATATCTCCTGGGACTGAGATTTCATTACTGATGAGACATTCCAAATTTCATAAAAGGTGTAATAAAATTTGCTGGATTCTGCAGATCTATTTTTACATCTTTCTCAGTAAAAGATAAATCATTTTATCATCTTATACCAGATTCATGACTGTCTTTAGATACAGGAAATCTGATTTAATTCACAACAGTCATCTGACAACATACCAACTTCAATCTATCCTGGGCACCATCCACCATTTCTACTTGTACATTCTGATTAATATCCTGGACATGCTGCATTTTTCATGTGACTGCAAGCCCTGATGTCCACCTGTAACATGCCTATTATTACACATCCTGAGGGATTCTGGGACGTCTATCAGTGCACTCGCACTCCTCTTTGTGCTGTGGAGCGACGGAGGAACCCTCCCTCTGAGGCTGACCTTTGGTCTGGCAGGTGGGGCAGCAGGCAGTGTGTCCTTCCTGTCTGCACCTGGGACAAGACAGAACCAGCTGGCAGCAGAACTGGGTGGAACAGAGCTGATAATGGTCCCAGGGACAGCCACAGTACCTGCAGTCTGAGCAGAGACACAAAACCATTTACATTTTTTGACAAACACAAGACAACAAGTAATGTTTTTAGATACTGTCTGTGTTTTTTCTTCGTTCTTAAAACTCTCTTTCTAAAACCCAGAGAAAACACTAACCTGAGATGACATCACTGTTAGATGAAATGGAGTAGCGCTCATCAAAGACAAAAAGCTTCCCTCGGTAGAATCCGTCCGGGAAACGCTCCAGGTACTTGTGAATTCCGCCTTTCAGCTGGTAAACCTCTTTACACACGTCCTACAAGCAGGGCAAAGAGAGGTAGTGAACAAAAATGTACATTTCTATTTTTTTTTTTTTAAAGATTATAAACAAACTGATATTTTTTAAGTCTGTCCACCTGGTACGTTTCTTGTCCATTAAGTATTTTAACTAATAAGTGATACAAAAATGCACAGTGACTAAACATCTTCCCTTGTGGACAGATGACCTGCACAATGTAAGTGAATTAATTACAAGCTATTTTCATACACCTAATAAATCCAACTGCATCCTGAAGTTTGAACCCTGGAAAATCAACTTACTTTGGAGCAGAGGTAGGCAGAGCCACGCTCACAGCGGATCCCTCCTGTGCAGTACATCAGGACCTTCTTGTCTCTAAAGAGATCCAGGTTCTGGTCCACGTAATCTGGAAAGTAGCTGAACTTACGGATGTCTGGGGCCAGACAGTGAGTAAACTGCCCCTGCAAGGAAAAGAAACATCACCATTTGTACTGACAGTTAAACACCACACCATTGTCCTGTTTAATAATGATAGTTGCGTGGATATTGTCCTTTTTCCTTTGGTTCTTACTGTGATGTCATGGCCAGCAGAAACATCAGTGAATCTGGCTGGAATTTAGCATCTTGCTCAAGGACATTTAAATGAACAGTTGAACAAAATATAATCACTTTCTATTCAATACAGTGTTTCAAAACTACTTCACTGCCAGCAGTACCTCTGCTGTAGGACCTTCTCACTGCAACATGTTAAATGTAATGGTTGGTTAACACAGCTGTGTAGAAACGAAACAAATGGGTACAAATAAATGACAGATTTCTGACAGGCAATTCCTGTAGAACCCTGGAAGTGTTTTTTGTAGGAGAACCGATGTAGGACTTACAATTTTACTCTCGTAAAAGTTCCGGCAGTCCAGGAGGATGGTGTCATTGCACAAGTTTCCTTTAGCCAAAAGAGCCTCCACTTCTTCGTGAAACCTTTCAGGCTCCAGATGGACCCCTGAAAGGAAAGACAGATTTCAAACTAGCATGAAACAAAACAGAACTTCTTACAGAAAATCATATCCAAACAAACAGATTATTGAAGAAAAGAAAAAAACATTATCATGACATTAAAAGCAAAACCAATTCTAAGCAGTAACAAGATAAAAAAAAAAAAAAAAACACAAAGATTTTGATAGTGTTATGATAGTACTGTTTATACCTGCGTGTCTGTAGGAGATGACATCAGGATCCACTCCCATTGGGACAATTTCCTTATAGACCCTGACCCTCAGGTCTGTGAAACACTCTGCACCACCATCACTTATCTGAATGAGAGACAAACTGTTCAGTTTTACACAGTGTGCACTAGTAAACATGAAGGAGTTGTTCATTTTTAATGTGACTATTTTAAATATTAAGTATTTCTCAGAAAACATACATTTAAAACTCAAACTGTAGCCACAAACTGGAATACAAACAGAGTTCATATTCATGTAGGGTGTTGTGTAGAAACAATGTGTGCTGTAATGTTCACTCAGCTGGCAGTTTATTAGGTACACCAAGCTATAACTATTGCAGTCTACAACAGTCCTATAATAAACTCACAAAACTGTGAGATTATTTTATTATTTAGAAGTAGGCAAAAATAATAAAACACCTGTCACTGTAACACAATACAATTCAATGGCAGTACAAACTACATCTTCCAAAATGACCACACTGCTGAATCAACACCTCTCTGACACAGAACAAAAACTGAACATTATCACATTCATGAAGGAGGATTTCTTTCAGGACTGTTTTACTCGACTGCGTTTGTGTTAGCTAGATGAGTGTTAATAGGTACAATACAATAACAATATGTACAATTAATCCATAATTCAGAACGAGTTTATTTTATCAGATTCTGACCTTAAAATCTTCTTTATTCATCTTGAAGAGAGGATGCGAAAGCATTGCATCAATATAAATATCAGTAGCCACGTTAGTGCCGCCAACTGTTCCGTTGATGCCTTCTGTTGCCACCCTCACCTGCAGAAAGCAAATTTCAAAGGAACAATAAAGGTTGGGTTACATAAATACTTCTACTACTACAGAAATATGTTTTAAAGTCTGCATTTAATCTTGATGTAAAGATTTTGCAGTCCGGGATTAAAGAATTCATTCACCTTGCCAGTTAAGCGGAGCTTCTCACACAAAGCTTTTTGCCAAGCACAGATGACATGTGGATTCTCCAGTTGACAGTAGCAATAATACAGGAGAACTCTGCCTAAACCCCTAAAAAATGGTGAGAAATAATAACTTTGAGAGAAATCAGTATTTTAAAAGAATAATAATCAGAAATTTAAACTGAGCTCATCAATATCGTTGAAATCATATATTTTAATACAATTTTAATTTAGATTTTTCTCTTTAATTGTACAAAGACATGGGAACCCAGATGTGAGAATCAGGACTTGTGCCATACTTTTGAAGTTGCTCTTCAGAGATGTGACTGATATCTGGTATCCATGTAGAAATGTCCATTGGCTTCACATCTCGCTCACTCGGCTGCTGGGTTTCAGGTTCTTCTTCCAGTTGCTTTAACATATGCTCATATGCGGCCTGTGTGAGCTGCTTTATTTCAGAATCATGAGTCCTGGCCACGTGCTTGTGAATGGCAGAGTGCTCCTTGAAGGTCTGGACACAACAGCACCAACATGGTTTTCCTTCCTCCTGGGTGGCCTCCCTCTTGGATGCCACAAAGGCAGCAAATGACTGTGACGAAGACAAAATGTTCAGTAAAGACAAATCCTTTTTAAATAAAAAACTTAAATGCCAAATGTGATTAAACAGTAGACACCATACATGTGATACAGGTACACTGTATTAAGAAAGCAGCTCCCAGTAAATTAATTCTAAGGAACAGAATTTAGCTTAATCTTTTCACAAACCATAAACTTATCTCATGAACCCAGTGGTCCCAGTTCATCCCAGCAAATTTATCAGTATAGCTTTTGTTGGTTTATAATGTGAACAATTTGTCAATTAATACATCTTTATAACTTCTCTGTTAAATTTCTTCAACATAATTTTAATACTGGTGTGTTCTGTTGACAGAAACTGGCCATGTTAGGTGAAAGGTGAATTACATTCACGCTACAAATGAGCTGAGCTATTACTGACTTTGTGTTTAGTTTAGTTTATTTCAAGTATGTAAAAAATAAAATTGCATTACAGAAATAAAATTGTGAGAAAAAAAAAACAAAAGAAAAAGGTAGTGCATATACAATACAAGAGGAAAGAACTAATAACAATATAAAAACAAAATAGTATACAATTCAGTCATATCACATTCATGAAGTAAATTACAGATACTACCACCATTGCATGCTTGAAAGGGAGTAGACTTCCTTTGTGTTTCTCTTGTTTCAGTAACTGTACACAGACTGAAACACAATCACGTGCAGAGCTGTGTTCACTATCCTGAGAATCTAGTAACGTTACATAAAAATAAGGTCATATTTAGGACTGACGGGAGAAGGGCAAATCATCATTGTGTGTTTATTTTGTAACTCACCTTCCTTCTGCAGAAGGTGTAATACCTTCTTCGTGAGGCAGAAAGTTGTTTTTCCTGTTTTGATATATTAGATGTCGAATTATCAAGTTCCCAATCCATGAACTTGAAGCAAGGTGTATCATCTGATGCCATGGTTTTTAACAGCTTTTAAAAATACTATCAACTTAAGCTAGTTAGCTAGTAAAAAGTCTTTAGCCAAGTTACATGACTTGTTAAAATTTAGAAAGATTCACTTTTAGTCTGAATATGTATGAATAAAGGCAATTATGGACATTCAAATGATAAACTATTGATCATATCGCTACAATCATTACATAAGTCTTAAAATGTCGATACATACATTTTAAATATCCAACTACAAAACATGAGGCAACAAACTCGGACGAAAAAAGCCGGTGCACCTTCCGGTTCACCCCTCTCTGCCCTGGATGTGCCTCACTTGAATCAGACCGCTTTTATTTTACTGCATTGGTAGCGGCCAGGCTGAATGATCTCGAAGCTTGTTTAACCGACGTATAATCTTGCGTCATATTGCTTCTCTTGTCGATTTACCTTACAATTATAACAAAGCGTGAAACATGTCCAGGAGACGACACAGCGATGAGAATGACGGTAGGTGGACGCTACATGTGTAATTCAAACGCTAGGCTAGCTAGTGGCTAGCTAACATTAGCGTGTTTTAGTGAGCGTTAATCTGTGGCTTGGTGCTTTAACGCAGGCACGTTATTTTAAGGTCAGATTTGGGTGATGTCAGCATTATCCAAAAGTACAAAACAGCTGATATCCATTAATGTCTATCTTCACTATCATGACTTAAAGGTATAGGCGAAATGTCCTAACAGAAAAATGAACTGGTACGCGCAACGTTACGCGTTAGCTCTTGGGTTAGCAACTGTTGACCAGTGTAGTTAATATGGGGGCGGCAACCAGGTAGAGTATGCAAACACCTGTTAGCACAGTTTGTATGAAATGTATTAATGCTGATTTCTTACGTCTGTTATAAACTTTTAACGTGGGTCTGTTTGTTAGTCGGAAAGGCGTCAGTTGCCTGAGTTACATAAAGTGGATGTCTTCGAAAAAATCTTTTTAGGATATAATTCCTTCTTTGTGTCCTCTGTGTAGTGTTTCCCGTTGAACTGCATGCAACAAAAACTGAGCAACAAAAAGAGGACAATTTATACTTAAAAAAAATAATTTTGACTTTAATGGATATCCACTTAAAGAAACTGCCAGGAACGAGGAACTCGTGACAGATGATTTAAACGGTCTAACTTTAAGCAGCAGAGGGAGGGTTATCCTTATTTTTAATCCCTAATATGGGTCAGGCTTCAAAAAGACTGGATCCTACAGTTCCTCAATAGTATCTGTAAATGCAGTCTTTCACAGAGTCCAACCTGAGATAATCTCAGTGACATCTTTTTTCCAGTCTTTAAAAGTTCCCTGAGAGCAATGGAAGACATTATACACAACTGTTTTTGCGGGTCGTGTATCAATCCCAGTAACTAGTCTTTACCTGTAAATTTGGTGGAATACCTCTGTAAGTAGAACCCACAACGTGCAATGATTTACAGATTAGATGTGAATATTCTGCTTTGTGGTGGATTTTCCCATTGAGGTTGTCCTTCATGCTCCATTCACACTGTGACTCACTCTGTCACTATTGTGTTACTCTTTTACCCTTCCAGGAGGTCAGGCCCATAAAAGAAGGAGAACATCAGAACCCATTGAGATTGAAGACCGCCTGGAGTCACTGATATGTCGCGTGGGAGAAAAGGTGCATCTTGGTGTCATCTCTAGCAATATAGTCGTCCAGATGTCTTGTTTCATCAGATCAACATGGCCAAATTCCAAAAAGATTCATTTTACTATCCTAAGACCAAGGAACCTAGATAATATTCACATTTGAGAAGCTGAAACCAAAACATTTTTTAATAATAATTTTAAAAAAAAGCTCAAAATCGTCGGTCGTTTATCAAAATGGTTGTCAATGAATTTTCTGCAAATGTACCAAGCAATTAATTGTTGCAATTCTTCTTACAACAGCCATGTTCTGCTCTGGCACAGACTGAACCAAATAGTTTTAGAAATAATCACCAAACTCTTTGATGGTGTTTGTTTGCAGTTCAGTGTACTTCAGGAGAAAGAAGCCACAATAAACTTATTTTACAATGAAGTGTTACAATAAGTTGCTTGCTAATTCCACATAGCACCTGGTTCTTCTGCAGATTGTGAGAAGTACTACAAAGGCTAAGTTACTTCATGTTTCTTTTCAGAGTACATCGTCGCTGGAGAGCAACTTGGAGGGCCTCGCTGGTGTCTTGGAGGCAGATCTTCCAAACTACAAAAACAAAATTTTGCGCATTTTATGTGCTGTGTAAGTTCACACTAGTTGTCTCTTTACTGTTGAAATGATTGGCTTCTGGTAGTGATATCTCACTGATCAGATTTTTGTTAACAGTGCCCGCCTCCTACCTGAGAAGCTGACTGTTTATACAACATTAGTTGGCCTCCTCAATGCCAGGAACTACAACTTCGGGGGCGAGTTCGTCGAGGCCATGATCAGACAGCTGAAAGAGACGTTGAAAAATAACTTGTACAATGAAGCTGTTTATTTGGTACTGTATGTTATCATTTTATTAGCAAGTGGCATATTAGTCTTAAAAGCAGTCGTTTACAAGGTTTTCTATATGTTTGCCCATTAATTACTGTCATGCTCTTTTTGTAGGTGCGTTTCCTGTCTGACTTGGTGAACTGCCATGTGATCGCTGCTCCCTCCATGGTGGCCATGTTTGAAAACTTTGTCAGTGTTACTCAAGAGGAGGATGTACCACAGGTAGGTAGAAGGTGGAGGGGTCACTGATGTATTGGAAATTAGATAGAGGTGAATTTTAGGTTGATGAAAAAGTATAATCTGAAAATAATGGCAATTTAACTTGAACAAGGCCAGAATAAAGACAAAATCTAGAACATTTTAAAGCCACTTTCATGATACAACGCTATTTAACTATTAATGAATTCATCATTAAACTTTGACTTCAGTGCAATAGGCATATGTGCAAAATAGTGCTCAGGTTTAATACCATTTTATTTTGACTTTCAAAAGTTAGGTGCATGAGTATTTTTTGTGCATGCGTGTGTCACCAGGTTCGCTCGGACTGGTTTGTGTATGTCGTTCTGTCCTGTCTGCCCTGGGTCGGTAAGGAGCTTTATGAGAAGAAGGATGTGGAGATGGACCGTCTTCTCAGCCAGGTCGAAGGCTACCTCAAGTAAGATGTCTGTTGGGTTTTCTGTCCTGGCTCTTACATTTTCTTCTTATGTCTTTATGTGCCTGCTCTGCCCTGTCTTTGTATTTAACTTCCAAATCCTTCATGTTGTTCAGGAGGCGAGTAAAGACTCATGTCTCGATGCTGCAGGTGTGGACAGCAGAGAAGCCTCATCCACAAGAGGAGGTGAGAGACACATGGGTTGCCTTTGATATTGATCCAGGAGGCTGGTCAGTGTTAAAGTGTTTCTCTCTCTCTCTCTCTCTCTCTCTCTGCCCATCTCACAGTACCTGGACTGCCTCTGGGCCCAGATTCAGAAGCTTAAGAAAGACCGCTGGCAGGAGCGTCACATCCTTCGTCCATACATCGCCTTTGACAGCGTGCTGTGCGAGGCCCTACAACACAACCTGCCCCCTTTCACTCCACCAGGCCACATGCCTGACGCCCAGTACCCCATGCCCCGGGTCGTTTTTCGTATGTTTGACTACACTGATGCTCCAGAGGTTTGTAATAGATACGGTTCACCTGCTGTTCTCAAAGTGAATCTTGCCTTTAAATGGCCAGAAAATGTGTAATGCTTTAAAAATGCATGTACATGTAGAGCCTGTGTTCATATTGAAATATTATAGACAAAAGTTGCAAAACCTCATCCTGGTATCAATGGGATTCTAAGTACAGACATGTTTTATACAAGCAGTTTGTCTTTAAGTAAGTTTTCTCTAAAGTTAAAGCTGCAGCTCACGGTCTAGTCGGATCAAATGAAGACACATGGTTGTGTTTTCTGAAAACACATGGGAACACACATGAATTTGTTCACATTGTTTTCACACATTTCTCTTGTTTATGCTCAGGGTCCTGTTATGCCTGGCAGTCATTCTGTGGAGAGATTTGTCATTGAGGAAAACCTGCACTGTATCATCAAGACTCACTGGAAAGAGAGGAAAACATGGTAGGTCTCCACCATGGTCACAAGTCACCTAAACACCTCACCACATCTGAACACTCACATTTGTCATGTCTCCTTTTCCCTCCCAGTGCTGCCCAGCTACTCAGCTATCCAGGGAAAAACAAGATTCCCCTCAACTATCACATTGTGGAGGTACACAGTTTGTTTGACATTCTGACAAGTAGTGAACCTTTAGGAGCTTGTGGAAAGTATTGATGCGAGTCTTCTTTCAGGTGATCTTTGGAGAGCTCTTCCAGCTACCCTCTCCACCTCACATTGACGTCATGTACACCACACTGCTTATTGAACTCTGCAAACTGCAGCCGGGATCACTGCCCCAAGTTGTATCCTTCATTGTTTGTATCTCTGCAGTTCATACCCAGAATGTCCTTTAACACAAGTTTATTCTCCAGACAAGTAGCACTGAAGGTTTCATGCTGGTGACAGACAAACTTGGTTTTCAGTGATGGAGACAAGAAGGCCACAAATCACAAGATCTCAGTGTGAAACTTTAGTGCCGTTATAGTGAGAGACAGTATTTATTGATCACCTTAGCTAGACTGATTATAGAGTTCTCATATTGGACATGTGAAGGTGAGGACTTCTCCAGCCTTAAAAGAAACTTTGCCTTGACACTTGCCTATTAGTTGGCCCAAGCTACAGAGATGCTTTACATGAGACTGGACACCATGAACACCACCTGCATAGACAGGTAATCTTACTACATTGACACTTTTCCTGGACAAGAGCAAAGCTTCAGTGAAGGGGCTCCTCTGTGATGTAACACTGCCCTTTCTGTTTCCAGACTAATCAACTGGTTTTCTCATCATCTGAGTAACTTCCAGTTTCGATGGAGCTGGGATGACTGGTGAGTGATGTGTGACGGGCACAGAGAACTGCTCTAGCAGCTGTTCATGGTTTGAAAGCAGCAGTGCAGTGACTGATCATGTGTCTTCTGTAAAGGGCTGACTGCTTGACCGTGGATCTAGATAAGCCCAAGCCCAAGTTTGTCAAAGAAGTTCTGGAGAAGTGTATGAGGTAAGAATGCACCATTTTAGTTTTAAATGTGAATTTCTGTCCTGTGAAGCAAGACGGTACAGTGATATACAGAGACATTCTATGCTAGTGATGTAGTCAGAGACAAGGAACTAAATAATTTGTCTAGAAAACTCTGGCCTTTGACGCCTGAACGGCAGCATGAGGCAGCCAAGGGCTGGTTTTACAGGACGATCAAATAAATGAAACCGTATTTGAAGGCCTGCCTTTATTTTAAACATCTGATGGGTATAAATCTACTTTATTAGATGTTTGGTGTCTAAGTCACTTATTTTCTCCCCAATATTTTTACAAAAGAAGTTTAATGTGTAGGCAGTTGAATATTGCAATGTTTTCTCATCAGTTTTCCTTAAAACACGTTCCCGTTGTTCCCCTTGAAATCTGATCAGTGTCTCCTTGAGCTGAAGTCGTCTGTTTCCTCTTTTCCGCACAGGCTTTCGTACCACCAGCGCATAGTGGACATCGTCCCTCCAACCTTCTCAGCCCTCATCCCAGCAGAACCCATCTTCATTTACAAATATGTCGATGAGACCGCCTGTAAGTAAGCCAGGTCATTTTATTGTAACACGTTACTTTCAGGACAGAAATCTTTAGAAACAGGTGATTTCCTGTTCGCCATTAGTTACAGATCTTCGGTTAGGCCTGAATGGATCCACAGATGTTTGTGTAGCTAGTGCTGAAGAAGTTTAGATGTCGATACCTAAGAAAAAGTTTTTCCCACCTCACAGCTACGTTACCAGGTTACCCAGTCTCCATCACCGTCAGCAACGCCATCAAGAACCGGGCATCCAACGAAGAGATTCTGACCATCCTCAAAGAGGTGCCCAACCCCAACCAGGAAGATGATGACGGTGAGTCTGTTGTTTGATTGCGCTTCACTTCCTCTGTTGTAAAGCATGACTCGTTAATTTAGAAGTACGAAGTTGCAGTGTTTCCAGTCTGAGCCATCTTGTCATCATCACCACTTTGTCCCTGACAAAGTGCAAGAATTTAATTTGCCAGGTAGACATCAGAGAGGAGTAAGTGATGGTTGGGGTTCCTTCAGTCGTCATCTTTAAAAGATGTTGGTGTTTAAAAGATGTTCTCCTCTCTGTTACACAGCCTTCATCATTTCAGTGAGAGTGACATTGTTAGATTTACCCAAACATTCTTTCAGCGTGTTTGTTACAGTCTCCTTACTTTGGTCTTTCCCTCCTTTGCATGTGTTTCTCCTCCTTTTTTTCCAGATGAAGTCGAGAGCTTCAACCCTCTGAGGATCGATGTGTTCATGCAGACACTTCTCAATCTTGCAGCCAAATCCTTCAGCCACTCCTTCAGCGCCCTCGGCAAGTACGTTTCTTTTTGCGTCTCCCATCAAACAAACTAAAATACATTTGACTTATGGTGTATGAAATGAGCCGTCATTCACTAAAAAGTGACGTTCTCCAAGTCATAGGTTTCCAAGCAGTACTCAGGAGCCGTACGCTAACTACAAATATAAACAGTCAAGTTTGTACTGATTGAATGCAGACTAGCTGTCCTCATCCGAGTCTGATTCCTCCAGGTTTCATGAAATCCTGAAGGCCCTGACAGACAGTGACGAGGGGAAGCTGCACATCCTCAAAGTGGTTTATGAAGTGTGGAGGAACCACCCGCAGGTGCTAATCACAAACCCTTCACTTAGATAGGAAGAGGTTCAAAACATTTGTCATTCACAGGGGTACAGTGTAGCTTATATAAATGTGCACTGTAAAGTTTCACATGACGTCTTTGCTGCTTGTCAGATGATCGCAGTGCTGGTGGACAAAATGATTCGGACACAGATCGTGGACTGCGCTGCTGTCGCCAACTGGCTCTTCTCTCAGGACATGGCTCATGAGTTCACCAGGTGAGATGCTGACGAATGTGAACATTTTTTCGTTCTAGATACCCCAAAGCCAGGACATTAAACTTTGACCTCTTTTCTGTTTTAGTGTTTACACAGTGTCCAGAATACAGTGTTTTCTCTCTGCCTCTGGAAACTAAATAAACTTCTTAACCTCATCTAGACTTTTCGTTTGGGAAATCCTGCACTCGACCATTCGTAAGATGAACAAGCACGTGCAGAAGATCCAGAAGGAGCTGGAGGAGGCCAAGGACAAGCTGGAGAAACAGCAACACAAGCGGGTAACCTTGTTTCCCATCACACTGTGCTAATCACTTTTGTCACTTTTAAATTAGTGATTTGGTTAAAGCACGTCATTAAAGCTGCGTTGTAAGGAGGGGGTTATACTTACTTACTTCTCTTTATTTAACCAGGTAAAAAACCCATTGAGATCACGATCTCTTTTACAAGGGTGACCTGGCCAAGAGGTCAACAACACATGTCGTCAATACATAAGTTTCAATACAAATCAAAAACATTAAACATTTAAACAATCAAAACCATAAATACAATAATCAACAATAGAACCAATTTAAAAACACCTACACTGACCAATAGACTCCTGTTGCCAAAGAGCCATAAGGGAATAAAAAGCTTTAACTGAGCATAATTCAGTAAGTTTAAAATCTGCTTGGAAACTATTCCACGAAGAGGGAGCGGCAAATCCAAAAGCCTGTTTCCCTTTTTCGGCTATAATGTTTGTTCGTGTTTGTGTGCCAAAAGAGAGACAGCGTTGGTGACGAGGACATGGAAAAGAACAGCGAGGATGAGGAGGGTCAGCTGGAAGAGCAGATCGAGAGGCTACAGGAGAAGGTGGAGTCGGCGCAGAGCGAACAGAAGAACCTCTTCCTCGTCATCTTCCAGGTACCAAAGAGAACATTTCATGAGACCAAACTACAGACTTTTCTGTACAGACATTCTCAGCCAGCAAAGCAGAAGGCTTAGACAGACGGTTTACACTCGGATGGTGACATCTGATCTGAAATCATTTGAAAAAGATTAGAGCAGGAGATGAATGTGCAATAACTTAGGAAAGTTAAAGCTGCTCTAAAACCTGTTGCTTGAACACATAATTATGGGAAAAGTAAGATCTTTGATTCAACAGGGGGAGAAATTCATCATTTGCATCTAAACTGGATTAGACAGGATGGCAAGTTGCTAAGTGTGATTTTGTGATTTAGGCTGAGAAGATGTGTGTATTGTTACATGTATAAACCTGTAGAGTGTGTGTGTGTGTGTGTGCGCACTCTTATTGCTCCTCCTTTCAGCGTTTCATCATGCTGCTAACGGAGCATCTGGTTCGTTGTGAGACGGGCAGCGTCGACATCAGCACGCCCTGGTACAAGAACTGTATCGACCGACTGCAGCAGATATTTCTCATGGTAAATCATCCATACACACACGCTTTTTCATTCCTTGTGGGGACTTTACTAAACCATAACCACTACCTGCCTAACCCTGTCCTTAACCCTACCCTAACCTCCCCACAATATGAGTGTGTTAACAGGTTTTGGTCCCCACAGTTTAAGTAATACAAAGGCACACACACAGATTATGTCACTGTGTTTATTGTCTCGATGACGCGTCGTCTCTCCTGCCTCTGCAGCACCATGTGACCATCCAGCAGTACATGGGAACTCTTGAGAACCTCCTGTTCACTGCCGAGCTCGACCACCACATCCTGGCCGTCTACCAGCAGTTCTGTGCACTGCAGCTCTGAGACGCACACTGGATGAAATGTGTACCTGTGCTACACCTACACGTTAGGAACTACCAGCTCTTGCATCAAGAATCTGCTCATTAGGTTGTTTATCTACAAATTTTGTGTTTGGTGTCATTCGACATGTTAGCTATGTGCAGCCACAACTGAGGGCATCTTTCACAGTCAACATTTAAAGAAGTCTGACTCATCCTCTATCATTCATTTGCTGTAGTGTTTTATTTTAAATGTATTTACTTCAGTTCAGTTTTCAGTTTTGGTCATTTTTCATTTTAATCATATTCTTATGAATAGTCTTTTTAAAACCGTATGAATTGTCTGAGTCCAGATAGTCGGAGGAATGGTCATAGGAATGGAGATTTCAGGTCAGCTGATTGACTGAATCTAGAGAGCCTTCTACTTTTTTATGTTTTATGTGGAATTCGGAAATAATTAAAACTCTCCAGTCCTTTTCTGCCTGTTATGTCATTTCCTTCCCCTCAGTCACAAACATCCTCCTGTCTGGTGTCTCTTACACTGATGCTGCAGATTATCTGGAAATACTAGAATCAAAGGACCTAGAAACAAAACCATGACTGATGATATTGTGATCAACGCTGAGCCTCATGGGAAATAAGTGTACGGGTATTAGTTGTGATGGCTTGTTCTTGGTTCGTGGATTAACCACAACAGGGTACATTACTCATGAGTCTGCTGTTGGAGATAGGAACCCCTATAGAAGTACACTAGAGAATGCACACAGTTTATTCGTTTTACTGCATAAAACCTTCAGCATCCTTCAGGCTTGTTTTGCAGTATCTGCAGTGGATGTAACCACTTCTACAAAATGAAAGCACTTAAGTAGTTATACAACCGTCTTAGTGGTGCAATAACGTGTTCAGTTTGGCTGACAAATTTAACACAGGAAACCTTTTCATTTCAGTAAACATCACGAGTTGTATCTCCTGTCAACACTGTTCTTCTGTGCACAGCAGCAGGACAGCACCAAGACTGTAGTGTAGCTTAAATCCCTGCTGTTTTGAGACATGCCACAATTCATGCCTTTGTTTTGCTGGTTTTTGAAAGAAATCCTTTTAAGAGAAACATTAAAGCTGATGCACTGAGGGAACATGAATATACCAACTGAGGAAGACACTATGATGACACTCCTCCGGACATGAAGAGAACATGCAAACTCCACACAGTAAAGGCCCCGGTCGGACCCAGATGCTTGTTACTATGAGGTGACAGTGCTAACCACTGCTGCTTTTCCCAAAATATGTTATTTACCTGCAAACATCTGACTTACACTTCTCTGTCTGATCTTGTGGTTTTGTGCCAATGTAAAGCACAGTTAATCAGATCTGACACTTTGAGCTTCTAGATGGAATAACTGTAAACTGATTGAGAGAACAATGTCTTGGTCTCTTACATGAATGTAAATCTAATTTCCCATCTGTGACTTTGCCACATCCCAGAATTAAACCTGGGAGAACCAGGAGAGTCTGAAGCATCCTGTGTAGAAGTTAGGATCAGGACAGCTGGGTCATTTCTCTGCTGCATCAACACTTTGGCCTTTCCTGCTTTTGGTTGGTCTTCTTTTGTTACCTTAATCATACATAAGTTCAGTTGTCTTAAGAGCAGGTAAAAATAAAGCAATCATTTAAATACACATGATCAATATGAGACTGGCAGGTTTCTGCCTCTGTTCAGAGAACGATGTTCTCAGCTGGCTGGAATTTCTCCGACACACATCACCTGCCAGAGTGGCCGAAGACAATAATTTACACATTTCTCAGTACTATGTACTTTGTCTCTGATGGTGTATCAGTCATTCAGTGTTTTATAGAAACCTATTTTCTATTTAATAATGGACTGATAAAAATCTGCTGAGTTAATTTCTGCAGATAAACAGTGGACATACCCAGAGGTGGCAGGAGTACACAAGCTCAAATCTCAAGTAAAAGTGCACGTACTTTCCTAAACAAGTAGAAGTACCACTTCAAATTCTTTCAAGTTGAAATACATCCTCTAAAATGTACCTAAAGTAAAAAAAAGTGCAAGTACTCCACAAAGAAAACGTTATTTTAAACACTATTGAATTAGTCACTGTTCACATGAACGTGAAGTCTAGTTCACATTTGTTCAACAAACGTTTAAAGGTGACAGCTATCACAAAGGAGATTTTCTAATACTTAATTTTAAAAAAATTTAAAATCAGGGTCCAAGATCTATGTGACTACATAGTGACTTGGTGAAGCACCAAAACAGCACAGCTGCTAAAGGTGGAGCTGGTTTTAACTGCTCTATCTTCTAACAGGCTGTTAATCCATCCAGAATAGATCATCATTTACTGTTTGATTATATTCTGTTAAAAAAATGAATCTGCAAACTAACTAAGACTGTCAAATGTGAGTAAAAAAGACAATATTTCCCACTAAACTGTAGTAGAGTAAAAGTAACAAAAAACAGAAATACCCCAGTACCCGTACACGGGTACACGTACCTGAACATTGTACTTAGTTACATTACTTGATTATGTGTACGTAGTTACTTGCCACCTCTGGATTCTTTGTCAGTAGCAACAGTTTTAAGGTACAATGTGTTATTGAAACTCACTATACAAAACAAGTTTGGCCCCACAAACAAACACAAACAAAACCAAAACCAGCTACTTTTCTCCTCTGGCTTGTACCAGAAGAGTCGGTGAGCAGGTTCACGTGTTCACAATTGGAGTCTGCTCGCTGCATGTTGAGCTGTCGATGTGTTTGCTCCCGTAAGTCGCTTGTTCTTCAGCCTCCAGTCGTCTGTATCGTGTGTGGAAGAAGATGACGAAGCAGCAGGTGAACAAAGTGCACAGTCCTGCCAGCAGCAGCGTTGGCACTGAGGGAGAGACATAACCACATGACGGGAGAAATGTAGTAACGTTCAAGTTGTTTAACAGCCAAGTTCATGACAAGAGGAGTGTGTGGTGACTCTGTCAGTGTTTAGTGGATATATTTACATTTTCTTTGTAGAAATTTAAAGGGTATTATTTTAAATTTTTGTTTTAATCTGGATTAAACCGAACAATTAACTGAGTGACAGACTGGGAGTGGGTTCTTACAGCACACCGATCTTCTAAACCTGAAAACAGTTTGCTTGTAGTTATATTGATTTAAGTACATGCGTATTTTATTGTATATGTTGTTTTAAATTGAGCTTATCACACAGTCATTGTTTCAGCAGTGACAACAGCTTAAAACTCAGATTAGATGCTGTCAGCACTGAAAAGCAAAACGTTTCCACTACACCACCGCACTGTATCGAGAGACCAACCTGTCAACAACAAAAACACAAGAGAAATTTAAACAACTGGCTGGCAGCTGAAGTTCAAGCTCTTCAGTTACTGCTCACAGCTGGTCATACCCATTAATTGCAGAGTTTCCCAGTGCAACATAAAATGGTCCATCCATCCATCCATCCATCCATCCATTTTCCTCTGCT